GTAATCTATTTGAAAATTTTTATTTATACACTTACGTACATACATACTTTTCTAAATTAAAGACAAATTGGAGCAACATAGGTGCCATGTTTATACCTTTTTCACTTAAGAATAAAGAAACATGATAACCTTTCCAGACAATACATTCCGATTCAGAACTCTTTCACTATTATAACAGCTCCATAGTATTGCCCTGAATGGGTAAACAGTGATTCATTTGCTCATTCTATTACTGATGGATATTTATTTATTTTACTGATGGATATTTAGCTTATTTCTTACTGAAAGAAACAATGCAGTAATAATGCAGTAATTAATGTGTGATGTCAAAAACAAAAAAGGAAATCATCCTTTTTATGTATGAAGAGTATGTAACAATGATCTATATTGAGAATTTCAGTATCTATATTCTAAAAAATCAAAGCAAATAATTTTTGTCTTTTTTCATGCATAGGGTTAAGTAATCAGTGGGCACGGGTGTGTCTGTGCATAGACTTTGAGATGACAAAATGCGAGCCATGAGGCATGTGCTCTTGTAATTTGGATGGAGCCCATCAAGTTACCCTCTCCTGGGGCTGGTCCAGCTAAATTCTCCCAAGGACTGAGTGACGGCTCCTGCTTCTACACTGCCTTGGTAACGCTGTGCCTGAACAGCATCTTTCATCTTTGTAATCTGGCAGAGAAATTGCACTTTTCTTTAACTGACATTTCATATCTTTGCCATTTATTTCTCTTGTTTTTTAAACTGCCTGCCATTGTTCATTTTTCTTTTCGGTTGTTAATAGCTTTCCCGTTCATAAGAGCTTTCATATACTAAGCAAACATGCCTTTTTAGGTAATAAGTATTGCAGATATTTTCTCCAGTTTGGCATTTGCCTTTGATCTTGCATATAGTGTTTGGACTATATTGAAATTCTCACTTTGATAAAGGCAGTATCACCTTTTTGCTATGGTTTCAGAGCTTTGTGTTTTATTTGAAAGACATTTTCATGCCAAGATAAAAATTTTTAATACTTACGCTTTTTCAAATTTCTTTAACTTCCTTAAAAAAACAAAAACAAAAACTTAATCTATGTGTTGTCCAATGAATGAAAAACTCAGTTTTGTCTCTTTTTCCCCACTGACATGCAGCAGGTTGCCCCAATTATTGAATAATTCAACTTGCTCTCACTGGTTTGAAATCCTGGCAGTTTTACATTTGTGACTTAGAATTTCTCGTGTGTGTTTGGGTCTTAAAATTGGACTGGTGGTGTGCTTTTCTGTACATCATTCTATTCAATGTTCTGTTTTATCCACATTGTTTTAATTTAGTCAGTTCATCTTCTCTTATTACCAATTTTCACATTTTCTTTTTTTTTACTGAAGACAAAATAGCTTATCTACTTCACCCCTATTCCTAGAAACCCCTACTGAATTTTTATTGGAATCACATTAAATTTATAGATTAATTTAGCAAAAATTATCGTTATATATCTTTGCATTTAGTTTTGAATCCTTTGGATTTGTCTTGACTTTTCTCAGATAGGCTCTCACTCTGCGATTCAAGCTGGCCTCACCCTCATGACAGCCCTCCTGCCTCAGCCTCCCAAGTGCTGGCATTACACGTATACATGACCAAGCTCTGCCATATGTGACTCTTTAAAAGTCATTTAGGATAACCTAAAAAGTTGTTTTAAAATTAAGCCCTATCGCTTCTCGGCCTTTTGGCTAAGATCAAGTGTAGTATCTGTTCTTATCAGTTTAAAATTAAGCCCTTCATGTTCTTTGTTAAATATTTCACCATCTTAACATTTATTGCCGTTGATATTGTAAATAGGATTTTTTTTCCTTCTAGTAAATGTACTGATTGGTTACAGCTTGTGGATAATTACTACTTTTGTATTAATTTTGGAAGTTCTCTGTATAGTCTTATTATTTCCAATAGTTTTTCGGCTGATTATTTTGGACCCACTTATTAACGACTGATATTTTTCAGAGATTAGTCAAATTATGCCTTTCTCATCTCTAATCAACACCTCCGCTGTACATAACAGGCCCTACAGTGGCCTACGGGAGAAAAGAAATGTGTGAGACATTAAACTGAAGGAGAATGAAACAAAAATGTAGACTCTGTTCTTACCACTATCATGGAAAGAGTCACCTGATCAGCCTTCCATCAGGTGAGTAAATGCTGGGGATGCTGTATCACAGTCACTGAAAGAGGCTTCTTTTTGCCTCTGCCATTTTAAAAGCAATCAGCTTACAATGTCTTGATATAAGTGATTTATACGACAGATGCTTCAAATGTTAAATGGAAAACGCTCCCTAATCTCACTGGAGAGACAAGATAACTATTTGTGAATTTTAAGCTAGATAGTATGACAGCAGAGAAAACAATGTCACCTCAGCTCACATGAGGCTAGACACCCCCACACACACACACACGAGTATGACCTTTATTTAATACTGTTTTCTTGATAGCTAGAGTGTAATGTTTAAATGTATCTATCTATCTATTTATGCATTTGGTACAGAGTCTTGCTACACAGCTCAGACTTGTAGCGCTCCTCCTGTTTCAGCCTCTGGAGCTCTGGGATTACAGGCGTGGGCTACCCATCTGGTTTCGGTGGCCAGCAGTTCCAGGGCCAGAATGGCATGTGGTACCAGGGATCCAACCCAGGTCCTTGCGCTTGCCAGGCAGACACTTAGACCACCGAGCTATCTCCCCACCCCAGGTAGCTTCTAAATTCTAGTCTACAAAGTCACTACAAAGTGGTAAGGCAAGACTTTGTGTTCAGATGTGGGGAAGGTGGGAACACTGCAGAGGCTGAGGCTGGGGGTGGCTACATGACTAGGAGCACCCTGGTGGATCACTGATGTGACCTGCCTACTGAGTAAAAAGCTGAGGGGCTCAAAAGTGGCTATATGACTAAGGGCTCCAAGAACCCTTAGACTCCTGAGATTTTATAGTCAGTGTACTCAGGCTGAGTCTCTCAGTTCTGACTCCTGTTTTATAGAGAGGACAGCTGAATCAGAAATGAAAAAGTTGCTGCAGCAGATGCACATATGTGTCACCTCATGAACGCACCCTCAGAAGTTGACAGATACCAGTGGGTTGAATTTATAGGGACCTAAGATGCAGCTCAAAATAGGCAAGACTCTTTTATGTTCTTTGTTGCCTAGTTATGATTATTTATCTTGCTTATTTTTTATTAGTAACTATTATAATTCTTACTGTACTTGAAATTTTTTGAGCATTCATTGTATGCCAGGGAGTCTTTCTGAGCTCTTTACCTAAAAAACTAGCCTCGAACTCATGGTTGTCAGGTTCTGGGATTGCAGGCATGCACCACCACGCCTGGCTTCTTTTTCTTCTTTTAATATTATAAACTTATAAAATTTATAGCAGTTTTTCTATACTACTTGCACAAACACACACACAAAAAAACCATTTTATCCTTTTAGGTTTGTTTCATTTGTCCACTTGTTCTAAAATATTAAATAAGAATCAGAATCAAATACAGAAAGTGAAGAATCATAGATGTCCAAGCTTAAAATAATAACAGGGAGAAACTAAATTTCAAGCAAGTCATGGGGGCCATGTAGGTACCGGAGGACCACCAACTTAACACTTCAACTACTGATCACAGCCGGCACAGACTGGCCATCCACTCATTCTTTTTCATTTATTTAGTACCTATTAGTGAACTTCAATTACATTATCATGTGATGGAAGATATCCCAAGCCCACTTTAAATAAAACCCAAATATTATTTAGAGAGGTAGGTGGATTCTTAACAAAGTTAAAACAGCTATGCCAGCTATCTGATTGCCATGCTAATCGTCCAGATAAATAACAAACTTATTCATTTTTTAGGCCAAATGCTTTTTTCTTCTCTTTTCTTTTCTTTTTTTTTCTTTCTTTCTTTTTTTTTTTTTTTTTTGCCACTGAAAGAAATCACTAAACTATTAGATATAAGAGAGTGTTCCAGGAGGAAGTATAGAAATATAGCGTTGTTAGAGAAAAGGATGAAGGCATGAAATGGCAGGAACCAGGGAGGTAAGCAGGTGAACAAAAACCTAATTAGGAGGGAAAGCATAGGGAAGTAAGGTGGTGAGGCAGGGAGAGCAGAGGCCCGCCGTTTTGTGAAGCCCACAGACAGGACCTAGAAACACCAACCTTTGGCGCAGCCCTGCCCAAAGTCCTCTGCCTGCCCAAGAGTCATAGTCTTCTCCAGAAATGTTTGGAATTAGTGGCAACTCAATATTATTATGACATGTCTCATACTAGTGCATTTGAGCTTATATGTTTCCCAGATTCCTTGGGATATCGTGAATGCTAAAAATTTCAAAATAGGGGACTGGGGAGATGGCTCAGTGGAATAAGCGCCTCCCTGGCAAGTGCAAGGGCCTGAGTTCAATCCCCGGTTCCGCCAAAAAACAAACAAACAAACAAAAAAAAAAACCTAAAAATTTCAAAATAGAGCTTTAATGATGCATACAAAAGAGGATTAAGGTATATAGCACCACATAGACCTCTTCCTCCCAAATGTGGATATACTTGAGTTGCTGCTCTCCTGCCCTCCAAAAGATTGAGGTTGCACGTGGTCCTAGTACTGCAGGTAATAGGCTTCCCAAAGCATTTAACACCTGAGTGCCCCCCAAAGCCTTCTGCTCAGTGGCTCTTCAAAGATGGAGCTCTCTTTGGCTGCCTCCTCTCAGACCAGGTGGTTCTGGGATTCCAACACCCATCCACATCATCTACCCCAAGGTCTTTCCAAGGTACAAAGGATGACTCCTCTGCTCAGCCTCTTGGCCCTTCTCTGCCACAAAACTTCTTCAGTATACTCATAGGAGGGCTTTTTCTCACTACCTTACCCTATATCCTCATGCTGTGCTTACACACACACACACATACACACACACACACACACACACACACACACACTTGCATGCAGGGGTCGGGAGATCTGTGGGTGGGTGTGTGGATCAATAGACTGAAGGAGAGTCGGAGCACTCACCAAGTGTAGGGTGTCAGCTTTCTGTGTCTGTCTCTGTCTGCTTTTCTGGGCAGCGATGCGATTTTTCTCTCTTCTCTGAACTTTTCTCACATCATCAGATGAGTCCTGGGAAGCAGAGATGAGAATTAGGCAAATCTACTCCTGTCTTCTGAGTTTAGGCAGGCTGTCATGGCATTTAGTACCCATCCATCCATCCGTGCATCCATTCTTCCATGTCTTCATCTCTTCACGTATGCACCAGTCTCCTTATTTACCAAAGTCCTACACCCAGTGGAGCACTCTTTTCCATACCCCCTTATGAGTCCTCAGGTGTCTCTATGCCTTTTTAGCCAAAAGCTACAGAAAGAAGAGATCTTGAAGGCTTTTTTTTTTTTTTTTCCAAAAAACAAAGGCAATGAAATGAGTTTCATCACCTCTCCTGTTCTTCAGGACTGTTATACCTCCTTTCTCTTTTTTTATCCTACAACTCCTTGCTGTTCATTTTTGCTCTTTTACTTTTTTCCAAAACCTTTGTTAAGCGCTTACTATACACCAGCTTCTGTTCAAGTGCTTCAAGGGTGCTCTTGTTTAATCATCCAATTCTGTGAGGGGTGTGTATCATTACTTGCATCTTACATAGAGGAGACTGAAGGTTGTAAGTGTTGGCCATGAGCTCACAGTAATCCAGAAGTGCTACATCTCCTGAGCAGAGTGTGAAGCCTTTCCAAGGCCCCCTCACCACTCCTTTTACATTAGGACGTTCCGCCACTGCTGCATCTTTGGACAGAGGGCATCACCCCAGGTCTGCCTTTTCTTTTATTGCCTTCATTGGGCTCTGCTAGCATGACCTTCTGCATGGCTCTGAGCACAATGCCCAGTACAAATGAAATGCCAAGGAGAACAATATGATGGAGTTCCTTTCTATGGTTTGTTGTGAGTAGGGTTTAAGAGGATAAAGAGACATTTGAGTATATTGTAATTACACCTGTAGGTGGGCATGACCTCTGCTTGGCCAGAGATGTTAATTGTGACTTTCACTAGATACTTTAGACTACCATAAGCATCTGAGAGAATTAGTTCTGCAACTCCTACACATTCTTCAGGCCACAGGGGCACACATCCTTTGGGGAAGACCCCATGGTCACCAGTGTGACCCATATTCCCAGGTCACTGCAACAGGAGGGTATTGGGTTAACTGGAAAGGAAGTGCTCTTCCTCTAAGGGGCATAGGGGACCAGGTTACCATGGAAGCCATGAGTAATTTCCTTCCTAAGAAGAGAACAGTTCAGACTTCTAGGTAGTCTGAAGTACTCTGATACCATGTTGAGCAGAGGACTGGCCTGTTGTCCCTCTTAAGGTTTCCAGTGGCACTTTGTCTAAACTACTGTTCTTCTGTTAGATTATTTTGATAGACACTGTACCAAAAAATTAATATACTTTTATTTTAGCTGCAGTATTTTGAAAGCCCCCTGATATCTGTACCTAAGGAGAGAATGCAGGTTTGAAGCCACAGAGATGAAAGAGTTTAATCCATGGCTATATGCTGCATGCAAAGGAGGAGGAGTCTATAGGAGTCTATAGTCAGAGAGGTCACGAATACAATAAAGAGAAAGAAGGCCCCAGCCATGGATAGGGATGCCTGCCTCTAATCCCAGCTACTTGGGAGGCTGATGCAAGAAGATTTCAGGTTCAAATTCAGAGAGAAGAGCAAGGGGTAGAAGTTCAGAAGCGGTGACTTGATGGGGTACCTCTTTTATTGGAGACCTTCCAGCTGAAAACAGGCTTTGGAAGTTGCCCTTTCCTGTTCTGTCGATAAGGAAGCTGAGCCTCAGGGAGATTGAGACCATTTGGGGGTCACTAACAAATGTCTCCAACTCTCTAAGGTCACTTCTCATTTCCTTCTTCTTGTCCAGAAACCACCAGGAAAGAGCTGCAGCTGTACTCCAGCATCCCTCTTTGCCCCCTACCCCAGCTGTGCTAGCAACAGAGGCAGTGCCTGGGCACACACACTGAGCCTTTTGCTGGTTTCCTCCTCCTTCTGAACATCAATGCTTTGCTCTCTTTTGCTCTCGTTGTGGGGCTTTTCCTGGGAAACTACACGTCTGAGCTTGGCTCACACATGCCAACAGCTCACTGAAAAGCTCCTGTGCTCGCTTTTCTACAGCTTGGAGAGCAGTACACCTTTTCTTCTGAGTACTTTGATATTCACCCTCCTCTTTGCTTTCTAGAAAGCTTCATGTTGGGAACTTGGTGGAGGTAACGGGTGCACTTGGGGGTGGAGAAGGAAGGGCTTTGGCAAAGCAGCGCGGGTAGAGGCTGAGGGTCTCTATGTCTCAGCACATAGCCAAACTGCAAATGCCATCCATGCCTGGGGTTGAATAGGGTGCTCATGCCACGAGCCACTTCCTCCCTCCATGGCTCCGGGGGCAGGACCAAGAAAGCCTGACCCTGTTCCGGCACCCCAGGGAGAATCAGAGGTAGAGGAGAAGGACAGAGAGACTCTACCTGCTTGCCAGGGGGAGGAGAGCGACTGAAGCTGGAGTCACTGCTGTCGGAGTTATGAGGCATGGCTGAAGTCTCTCCGGAGCTCTCTTGTCAGCAGCTGGCCTCCTTTTCTCCCTGCCCAAGCCACCAGCCTTGCACCTTTCACAGGTGCCCCCCCGGCTTGCTCTGGGTCCACCTCTGACCCCTGTGTCCTCCTTGCTCTGGGGTACAGAGGGACTGCTCCCCACAAGGACATCTCGCTCGCTCTAGGGCTTGCGCGCGCACTCTCTCTTGTGGTTTCTGGTAATTCATGCTGGAAGTCACATGGGCGGAAACTTCAACAACTTAGAAGGTAGTTTGAGAAAAAATATATCTGGGAAAAGACCCACTGAATTATGTGAAAGAAAAAAAAATGCACAAAACCCCAAATACCTTTTAACAGTTTGAAAGCCAGAGCAGCTCTCTTCAGTGATAAAGATAAAAGAGAAAAACAGCCAGGCAGGGAAAACCCCAGCCAGAATTAGCACACGAGTCCTCTGTCAACATAGCAGAGTGGGGAAGACAGCAGGGAAAGAGTTTCCATGTTCACACTGCTTGCTTTTTAAACCAAAATAAAATGATCAGCTTGGGATTTCTTTTTGGTTTTCAACTAAAAGCAACTGCCACACTGGAGTTAGGTTAGACTTTCTCTTCCCTTAGTCCAGCCAGCCTTGGGAGGGTTTGGGGACAAAGTGGCCTGAGGGCACTGTCCTCTCCTGACTGTTAAAGCCAAGAGGCTGAGGCCATCTAAATTCCATAGGGATGCTCTGGAGTTGATACACTGGGCGTTTATTCATTGCCTGTTCCTCTTGCCAAGCTGCTTTCACTTCAGGAGCCCAACACCTGCCCTGAATCTGTATGAGTCAAGGTCACCAAGCCAGAATCTAAAAAGGAGAAAGTGGAAAATAGTGACAGAGGCACCAGACTTGGAATCAGGACTGTGATTTGAATTCTGGCTCCACCACTTCGGATGTCTCTGAGGCAACTCACCAGAACTCTGGGATGGCCTTTATCTCAACCTGCCAGTGCAAGATAATCAGGCCTGCTCTCTGCCTCTCAGGGCCGCTGTGAGGAATGAACATTAGCGGTATTAGCATGCTCTTAGCAAAGTGTCAGGATGCTAGCAGGATGGTGGTGGACTGCTAGCCTTGTGCGCGCACAGTCACGGAGTTTCCGGTTAGCTGTCAGTCTCCCCTGAGTGTTTTGGCTTTTAGAAGCTTTTGCCAATATGGTACAAAGCCAAATGCTCACCAGGCTTAATTGTAGCCTTGACAGGATATTATGGCCCCCAAAACACTTTGGTATCTTTTATTAAATTTCTGCCCTAGGACAGCAGCCCTCTAAGGGTAAATTGATCAAAGCAAACTTCTTTCCCTCCTGAAATTGATGATTGATCAAATGAGGCAGGCAATAAACAAAGAAGTCAATGTAGAATACATTGGAGTGTGATGGATATTATGCCTAAAAGTGAAGTCTGGTGGGGAGTGAGAGAGTTCCAGGGACCAGGGGTTGCTATTTTGATAAGGTGGTCAGGAAGGTCTTGATGAAAGGGTAACAGCTGAGCAGGTGGTCCTAGGAAAGAACAGCCAGCCAGGGGCATCAACAAGCACTTGAGGTAGGGTGGGACATCAGGGAACAGCTCAGGGAAGGTCAGTGTGGTGAGATCAGAGAGGCAAAGTCAGCAAGGTGGGCAGGCCTGGAAGCCACTGGGCTTTTGGTGTTCATTCTGAAACAGATGGGGAGTCAGTGGAGGGTCCACCCTCCACCTCCACTCTTACTCTCTCCCTCAGCTACCATACACTGCCACACAGCACTTAGTACATTTTTACTGGTTATTTACATGTTCTTTTCCTTTTTCCTTCCTTAGAATGTTAGCTCTACTTATGAATTTCTCAATTACTCCACCAGATTTTCCCTGAGCACCTACCACTTGCCAGACAATGCTCTAAATTAGTGATGGCAAATTTGTGACAGGAGTGTTATTTATTTTTCTCTTAAGACAAAAGATGTTAGTGGATGAGTTGTTTTTCCTAAACTAAAACTTCAGTATTCAGGTTTAATTGCCGTGCTGGCAATTTTGCCATAAATTTGCAATAAATGAGTGGGTTTGGGGTTGCAGTTTGGGGACTCATCTCTAAAGGTTTGCCATCAGTACTTTAAGTACTGCAGTTAGTCAGCTAAAAAAAATTGTCCTATTCTCTGAAGGAGATGGTGTATCAGTTAGTTTACACTGACCAGCAAACCAAGAAAAGTCATGATGGCTTCAAACAAGTATGTTTTCAGCTCAGGAGTCTGTGGGTTATTCAGGAGGTTTCAAAACATTCCAGAAGGGTGGATTAGGCTTATCTCAGCCAGGTTCCTCAGACAGCCGATACATTGGGGGTAGCTGAGTGGTCTGGGGGTGCTTTTCTGAGTCTGTTTTCCTTCACATGTTCCCTGAGCCCCAGTAGGCTGGCCTGGGTTTGTTTGCATGCAGGTACAGGATGCCAAGTGTAAGAGCAGAAGCATCCAGAGCCTTTTGAGACCACGCTCAGAACCAGCACCACGTTCTATGCACTGCCTTCCACAGGCCAGAGTTACAAGGGTGGCCTAAACTCAGTAGAAATAAACTCCACCTCTTGGTGGGAGAAATTTAAGAAATTGTTTCCATATCTGCTCTCTCCCCCAAATGAGAAGTATAAGGGCAGAGAAGTGACATGCTCTGACTTAAGTCCTGGTAGGATCTCTCTGGACGTAACTGAGATTTTTTTACCTTGGGGAGAAAAGTGAAAGTGGGGAGACCAGCTAGGATTCTAGTACTGGACTGTCATAAAAACTTAAGCAAAAGATGCTGGTGGCTTAGACAGTGAGGAGGTAGGAAGCAAGCTGTGCACAAACCAGACTGTCTCACTTGCTTAGTCATGGCCCAGGAGGTGCTCAGCAAGAGTCACCAAGTGGATAAATGTCAAAATGAACGCCCATACAACTCCGCTTATGATTTGTGGCATTTAGGACCTCCGTTGGCTTACATGTTCTTTCAGCCTAAGTATGTCAAAACTGCTTTAAGGACAATAATGGTAATTTTGTATTTTATTCCACTTCAATTAACATTCGTTACCTATTATGTAGCAAAAAGTCACAAATATGAATAAGATAGAGGCTCTGCTTTCTTTAAAAAAGGTAAAATATGCAAACATCTAAACAGGTTCTTATAAGTTTTACAGGTGAAGTTCTCAGCTCTCTGGACATTTTACCATTCAACAGTCAATGCTTGTTGAGTAAATGATTGCTTGATTGTGTGATGTTCAATCAATATACTCAGTTCATATTTAACAGAGACCAAAGAGGCAAGACCTATAAAATGGTCTCTTACGTAAAAAAATTGGTCTCATTCAGTAGTGCTACTAATAAATTTTTCTTTCATACTTAAGGTTAAAAATTAATGTACATTTGGGGATCCAGTACTAAGCTTAAGAAAGTGGAACTGAAGGTCACCATATATTCCTTCCAAAATCCATCCTCTTCCCACCCCATGCAACCCATTATCCAGAGTCTAGTTTACATCATTCCTAAGACTTTTTCTGTATTTGAACCACATATGCATGTATACCTAAGCAATTATATCATTGTCCTGCACGATTTTAAATTTTTCAATTGTTAGTATTTTGAATCGTAACAGCAAAGTCTAAGAAACATACATCCCATGGCAATTACTTTGGAGAACACCATGAAGCCACCAAGATATAGTTGTACTGCATCATTCAGTAAACATAGCTCAAAGCCTAATGCTAGTGATCAGGTAGGGTTGTTTTGGATGCTTCACTCTCAGGGTCCTGGTACAAGTTAGAGAACAGTGACAACTCTAGGGGGGCAACTGCTTACAAAAGCACATAGCCTGACAAGTCTCTCAACCTTTCAGATGGGAGCCTTTGAACAGAAAGCAACCTGCACATGTGTGCCAGCATCCCCCAAGTATTACTTACTATGTGCTAGGGAAAGTACATGAATAGACTCATTTAATTCTCACAACTGTCACAGAAATAAGTCCCTTCGCTCCTCCCCCATTTTATGGATGTGGGCTACTGAGGCCAAGGAGTTTAATTTTCCCAAAGTCATAAAGCTAGTTAAGTGAAGTGGGCTAGGACTCAAGTCCAAACAGTTTAGCTCCAGTCTCTTGGTTTAGTCCTCCCAAGAACTCACCATTTTTATTTTTCTGTTTAAAATGAGATAAGTGAAGCTCATGATTTTGATAACTCGACCATGCTCACACACCTGGCACATGGCAGTGTCAGGATTGTACTGAAACAATGTGGTATCCTTGAGCAGTTTTCCACAGCCAAGATGTACCACACATTAGGTTAGGGTTAGAAAAATCCCCAAGCCTACCATATCTCCAAATCTCCTGTTATTAGATTATTTCATTAGGCTTGGCACTTTTGTCCCTGCAGTAATATAATAACTTTGGTGGCATTTAGATATGGCTAAACTTGGCATAAACTTCATAGAAACTTGTACAGGGAAAATTTCTTTTCAAAAGATCTCTCCAAGTTGGGCTGATGACCAGCAGGGGTGTCTAGGATGACAGGAACATATGACAAAATGCTAAATTGCCTTCAGTTTTTAAAAGAAGTACAGTTTGATTAGGTTGGGGCTAAAGAATCCTCCAAAGATTCCATACAGTTCCAGCACTTTAAGGGTAAGGCAGAGCTTCCTATATTAGTTATTTATTTCTGCATAACAAATCACCGTAACACCTAGCAGGTTTAGACCATAAGTGCCTGTTATCTCACACAGGTTTGGCACGTTAAGAATCAAGGAACAGCTTGTTCAGATGGTTGTGCCTCATGCTTTCTCATGAGGCTGCAGTGAAGCCATTGGCTGGGGCTGCCTTCCTCTGGAGACTGGACTGACAGATCAAGCTCCAAGATGATGCGCTCGCGAGGCTGGTGGCAAAAGGCCTCATTCCCTCCCCGAGTGAGTCTCTCCACAGGTCTGCCTGAGTTTCCCCAGGCCATGGCCTCTCGCTTTCCACATTCGCTGTTTTGTTCTAGTCAGTACTAGCAAGGCTCTACAGCCAGCCCACACTTGAAAGGGTCAATGAAAACTCTACCTATTGAAGGGAGGAATTCTTTTTTTTCATTTATTTTATTTATTTGTGTGTGTGTGTGTGTGTGTGTGTG